CGTTTTTCTTACACTGAGAAGCAGGAAAATGACCTTTTTCTCGATTATTTTATGGTTTCACCTTTTCGCACTTGGGGTCCCATTTAGTTTTCAAAATTTCACACCGACCCCAAATATTTATTTTCAGGTGAATTCCCTTGGCGGTACGGTATATGGCTGGATGGGCCCAACATCTGTGTTCAACAGGGGAAGAATTTTGGTGGGCGAAAGTAGTATAAGGCCAGTCTGATTGGAAGGAGAAGGGTGTTCGAGATCGTTGGCATTCACAGGGGTATCCTGACTGACATGCCCAAAGGCAAAGCAGAACTGCCACATGTGTGCTAGGTGCGAATGCAGGGCAACTCGAGCGAATGTACCTAACCGCATATAGCTGGCGGTTGAAAGCTTGATGTTTCGTGGAATTGTTGACGCTTACGAGATGGATTGCTGCAATTGAAGCTGCACAGCAGTGCAGCATTTCATGGCAAGTTGTTTCTGAGAAGCAGTGCCGTTAATTCTGAGATGTTAAAGTAACAGTTGTTGCAATGGACGTCAACGGCATCTTTGGCGAAGCCCGCAGAGCGTCCGAGAATGCTGACCAGGTGGAATATGCCGTCTTTCTCGATGAGGTGATGGTGGGCAAAGGGGAACAAGCGCAATCGCGTCAGCTTCTGGAGGAGTGTAAAATGGCTTTATTGAACCTGGTTCAGCCAATTATAGACGGGTACATTTGGCAGAAGGATGCTTTTGATCTCAGGGTGGTGGACATTCCAGGTGTGGGCCCTGGCTGGAAAGTAGAAGATGGCGAGCAAGCAGGTCAGTTGAGCACCGCTTAGGGCTTATTCAAGTGTTTGAATGTACCTGGCGGCTTCTTGACCTGTTTTCATGTATGGTATGCGCTGTTTTGAAGCATGCTCATACCCCCATGCTCAGATTGGATCTTTCTTGATCATCGTGCATGACCTTACATGGAGCAGTTCTCAGTGTGGCACCTTGACCTGCATGCCAGTGTCTGCTTTCAAAGGTTATGGAGATCACCTCTGCTTTGATGAATCAAATTCAAATTATCCTTTCCAACCAATGCCGCATGGTGATTATGTATGGTGATTATGTACATACATTTTGAACCTTTTCCCCCTTTTATCGCAGGTGGTGGTACAGCTGACACAGCTGTTCCCCCCCACCTCTACGGCAGCTCACGCTTTGGGGACAACATCGACGATGAGTGGTTCATCGTGTTCCTTCTCATGTACATCTCGCGGTGCTTTCCAGCTGTTACTATTACAGTTAGGGACTCGGACGGCTACTTCTTGCTCATCGAGGCCGCCTACGCACTTCCGAAGTGGCTGGAGCCGGACACCAGCGCAAACAGAGTGAGAGACTTTTGAACTTGGTCGCTGGCAGAAGCATCTGTTTACCACTATCATCTCCAGAAACGGTGGTCATTTGAAGGGGAGACGGAATTGTCATCCCAGTTGTCTCTGTCTGCATCAATGCAAGGAAAAGAAGTTATGAATGTTTCGGGAAGGTGGGGCTTAGAACACGGAGGTTCGATACAGTTAGTGCTTATTTGCGGTTGAAGATGTGCAAAGTAACCTGTTTAGAAGGCACTCTTTTTTGAAAGATATTGCGTCCATGGAGTGGATCCTGACAAACCGATTGCGACCCTGACAAAGAAAACGTTTGTCCAGTCCCCTTAGTAAGACAGTCTTACTGCAGGTCTTCATCCGGCGAGGAGCTCTTCATCTCATTTCGCCACCTGCCGGTGCTACGAGGAGACATGAACCTCCCCCCATATCCCTGGCAGACGCACTCGCAGCGCTGCGAGATCCCTCAGTGGAGACCAGGGCTTCCGACAGGATTCAGAGCGCGGTCCAGAGGCCAATTGCAGGGTCAGTCATGAGCTTGCTCGGCCTTTCGATCCATATTGCGTCTCCATGTCTCCTTTCTCGCGTACCTTAACGCAAGGGCGTACAGGAAGTATCGGCACAGCTTGGCGTCGTGGAGGGCTCTTCTTGCGATCAACTTCAGGGGTGATGTCCAGTCGCATTAGAAGATTGGATTCGTACAGCCAAGAGCTTAATCTGACGGTCAGGTAGTGCGGTGCCGTTGTCAATCGGATAAACTTTGATTGTCAAGGTAGAAATACTTGTGTTTGGTCAAAGATGCTGGATCACGTTTCAAGAAAGAGACAACGATTGGTCAAGAAGCTTCAATCTATACACCGCGACTCTGTGAATGTGTCGTCCAATGTCGCTGGTTTTCTCAGTCGAGAGAGTTGGATCCGTTGGTTCCGGAGGTCCGCTGTTCACGAAAGTTCCATTCTCCGGCGCAGGTATCCTGAGAGGGCGCGCTCGAACCAGCACCGCGCGCGCTGCCTCTTGCCGCTGCGCGTCGCGCACATCCTGCGGCAGGAACCACAGGTGGGCATTCAATAACACTGCTCACAGATATTGAAAAAAACTTCGTTTGACGAGTCTGGCGAGCGGATGCTTGCACCACGTCGAATAGAGCACCTGACGGTTTTCCGCTTTGGAAGGCTATGTCTGCGGTGGTCGCTCTGGCGCCTGATCCATCAATTGACCTCGCCCGCCAGATTCGGAAACTGGGGGCTCTGATTGGCTGTCGGTAACTAGACCGGGTTCTTTCTGCTCCTTTCACCGTATTACGTGGTCGTCGCCGTCGTCGTCAGGTCAATTCCAACGTGATCTTTGAGTTCTCCAAAGCCGCCTTCTCCTGCTTCTTTACTAGCCGTTCGGCGATTTAGGCAACCAGAAGCTAAGAAAGTGGAGACGGACTCTTTCTTTCTCTCTCGATTTTCGGCTTCAGCGTCGAAGGCTCTCTGACAATCTTGCCGCCTCACTTTCAGCTGGTGGCCCCCGCCGTCGAGGCCTTCTACGACCGTGACGTGGACAGCATGAAAGCCGCGGCAAAAATGGCGTTTGCGCTGCCGGAGGGATCGCAGACACCGCTGGTCAAGGCGTCAGTGCAGTTTTCGCGGGCAATGTACGCACAGGTATGTGACCTGCCCAGTGTTGAGACGCACCTTGTTCACGAGTGTTGAAAGCGCCGCCAAACGATTCCTTGTCATTACTTCCTCCCCATTTCAAGTCTCCAACAGGGAAAATGAGCGATTGCCGAAGCGACGTGCTTGTGCAGCGCTTCTGAGTCAGCTCCGGTACAGCTTTCCCAAGTTACCGACTCCCCAACTGATTACCCAAGGAATTTCGCTTTGCAAAGGTGCGAGCCTGCATTAGATGCCTTCTTCCACACCTCACGGTGTCTGCCACTTTTCCTACTTTCCCGTAAGTTCTTAATCCCGGTCACCAGAAATCTCAACCCCGCGCTCTCTCTATAGCTGCGGCAACAGGAGTTCCAAGCGCCCAAGCCTTACCCTCCGCTCCCGCCCCCTCACCACCCCGACTTTCTTTCCGCTGAGCTGGGGATGAAGCTGGCCGTCGGCTTCGAGATGCTGTACGCTGACCGGGCCCGCTACGGCCAGACTGCGGCAGAGGACGGCGAGGAGGCCCCACAGAGCCGGGCCCCGCCGCAGGACGACCCCGGGTGGCGGGCGTTCAAACAGAGCCTGGAGAGTAGGGGCTATTTTAGGGTGGGCACCGAACTTACCGCCGTCGTTTTCGCTCCGGTTTTCTATGTTTTGGGTATGTTTGCTTTTCTTCGTGTATTCCTGGCAGGCGATCAGTTTGTGGAGGTGAGCGTTGTCGAAATTGTCGGTTCCTAGAATAGAGGTAGGAGATAGATTTAGGTGCAAAATCGAAGTGCCTGCGTCTACCATGACCAGCCCCGTCGACCTTAGACAGGTTATTGATTGTTGTCTTTAGGCCTGCAAAAAGTTAGGTCTTTAGGCCTGCAAAAGCTCGAAGTTCTGAAGATGTTGAGAGAAAGACGTGAAGGCGTTGCTGCGGAAAGTGCTCGCTCGACAACACTCGGGGAGCCCGCATCCTTGAAGTTCGGGCATACGACGCAATCCACTCCGGCCTCTTGAATGCGCCAATCTGCCATTTCAGGATTTCTTGGAAGGGTCTGCGGAACATTCTCGGCTGCTCGCAGCGGCGGTGGCCGAGTACCGGCAGACGCAGGCGGCCGCGCGGGTCAACGAGAAGCAGTACGACCCGGCCAAGAGAATGGAGGATATTCTGAGAATGCCGGCGACCGCAGCGGGTAAGCCGTTCCGTCGAAGTTATGTCCTCACTCTGTGCCACGTGCAAAGGCAGAATTCTCCTTCAAGACGCAGCCGTTGCAGCAAGTATTATGTCGTTGCCAACGACGGGGGTGGTGATCGATGCTGCTTGACATCTAAAAGAATTCGTCTGAGGCCGCTGCCAAAGCCCGAACTTGTAACTGGGTTACTTTGTTACGAAGCTTGAAACGAACCGCCATGACGGGCCAGGTTCCTGCGATGATCACCTTCTTGTGAAGCCTCGATAGATCATCGTGCCGTTCTATCGGTTCCCAACATCAATGGTAGTTAGTTGGTAATCAACGGTACTATGTGCTCTGCCGTCTGAAGCATTCTCTCCACTTTTCTGACAGCGAGAGTCTTTATGAGCGCGGAACCTTTTAGCCGTTTCGTCCTGTTATCAGCACTGGAGCGACCACGGCGGTTCTTCCAGCCCGTCACATTCTCTTAATGAGCAAGCATCGGACTGACGGATGATGTGAGGCGCTTTCACGCAGTTTCTCACGATCAGTCTGCCGTTATTGCTCAGATTTTCCCGAGTCCGCGCTGCCCTCCGACGACAGCGACGCGTGGCTCTTCGACGGCGAGACGGAGCTGACGCAGGCCATGCGCGAGCGGGAGAGCGAGATGGAGGTCTACGCGCGCGAACGAGCGGAGCGCCAGCCGGAGGGCCCAGCCGGCGAGGGATCCCCCGAAAACGCCCCCGGGGAGGCCAGCTTTGACACCACCCGGGTCGTGGATACGATGAAAAAGTTTGTCGAGAGCATGTCGTCATACCAGGGGGCGGAGGTGCCCCCCGGCGCGAGGAGGGGAGAAGAGGGACCGGATGTCAACATTGACATGGACAAGTTTATGACGGAACTGGAGGCGGCGCTGGGGCTGGGCTCGAAGGGGGGTGAGACGGAAGAAGGGGAGGATCTCGACTCGGATCTGGACAGCGACATGGACTGGGACGAGGGGGGGGGGTCGGATGCGGGGGAAAGCGAGGAGGGGGTGATTGCCCGGCCGGAAATGGCGGGCCCCAGCAGTCGGATGAAAGAGGCGCGAGAGGTGGGGGGGGGCAGCGAGGAAGGAGAGTCGGACAGCGACGACAGCTTCATGGAGGAGTATGGAGAGGTGGGCTGCTAAAACCCTGTTGTGTGGTGACGGCATCAGCTGTACGTCGGCTGTAAACGCGGGAAACCTGGAAGAGTGGAACAAGACGGGAGTCAGATGGCCTCAGGGTGCACGGTGTACCGTGTGCGGGGTCTGGAGGGTCCTCTGTTGCACTTCTGTTGGCGCCTTGTCAGAGGCGACGGGTCCTCAGGGTTTCTGTCAAATCTGCATGGTCTCTTTGCATTCTTTTCCCTTCTATTACTCCTCTCAGCCTTGGCTACTTTGAAGACGCAATCAAGGCCACGACAGTGTTCTTTTTGTGACCAATCTCCGCGTGCAGGTTATGGATCAGCAGCTGAGTTCCTCCACACTCCCCCAGAGCTTCGTCCGTCCAAGCGAGGCAGTGGCGACCGACTCTGATGCCGCGAAACGCGCCTCGGAGTCCGAACCGGCTGCCAACAGCAAAGCTGAAACCGCTGAGGAAGACACGAGCGAGGAGCCCCTCAACGTTGATGTCAACCTAATGAAAAACCTGCTAGACTCGTACTCTGCCCAGCAGGGGCTGCCAGGGCCAGCCTCGAATCTCCTCGGAATGCTGGGGCTCCACTTACCCGATGATGAGAAGCAAGCCGGCGGGAGTAGTGCGTTCGGAAAGGAGAGCTCGTTAGGTATAGACGACGATCTAGAGGCGCCAGACTAGGTTGCATAGAGTCAAAAGCTAGGTGCTGTACTATGTACATAATTACATCACTTGCCATGAGCAAGTGGTTCTGGCCGCTGTCGGAGGAAAGGAGAGCAGATTGCACCTGTTCCCGAAGACAAAAGGGCAGCAGGCGGAGTTTGAAACTTCGGAGCCGAGTGAAAACCATGGCGTCAGCAAGAAGCATAAACGCGTCAAGGGGTACGAGGTGTGCAAACACGGCCTAAATCAAATTCTCGTCAAATGATTGAGACCGAATCATGCCACCGGTATTTAGCACGCAGAAACCAACATGTTAGATCCGGTTTGAGTAATCTAATGGTCCAGTGACCGGCCTGCAGCATGGATGATAATTGCCGGGTCTGGCACGTAGTACGGATCGAAACACGTCAACATGCATTCAATCACGCCATAGCGTTGTAGAAGAACATCACAACCCCGCCCACGTGCGGCGACCAGGGCTCTTTCGCCTCCCACCTGTCAGAGAAAGATTTTTTTGCAGGATGAGGCAGAAATTACCGTCGATTGACCTTATCGTCCATGTCGACCGTCGATTTCCAAGTTTGGGTTGCGCAACCTCAGGTCTTGAACCGTCGCACGGTACCTACTACTTCCTCTACAAGAAAGTATCCGGTACGCAACTTCAATTTTGCCACGGGGGTCTCATCAGTCTGGGTCGATAGTGATTTAGGAGGGTAGTCTCCGGAAAGTCACCTCCGCCGTTTCCGGCGTAGAAATATTTGATCAGACTTCCCATGCTGCCCGGCCGTCCGTGGTTGCGACTCAGAATAACTATAAGCTGCTGCCCGGTGCAGTAGCTACCAGCTAGCTAGGTACCGCGTTGCGAACTTGAACATGTAGAGGCCTCTGACATGAAGGTACATTTCACCGTACAAAAAGTACAAAAGCATTCACGGAACCGTACGGTACTGACAACAACTGTACCCGACTCTGACACATTCAGGCTACGGCGGTACCACTGCGATAATCGATTGTAAAATTATCACCACCGGCCTAGTACCGGCCCACCCACCCCAGCCGCAACCATCATCGCACGGCGCAGAAGAGGATTTGGGAGCAGGGGTGCGAGCGGGGCGCAGAATGGGGCGCGGAGCGCCCCCGGGAAAATATCTGCGCCCCCGGGCGCAAGCCCGGGGCGCAGTAGCGCCCCGGGCAAAAAGGGCCCTGCCCCGAAGGGGCAGGGCCCTGGTCCATGCTTCCGAGGCCCGGAGGGCCGAGGCCCTGTCCGGCCGCCGAGGCCCGAAGGGCCGAGGCCCTGTCTGGTCGGCGCCGGGCCGCGAGGCCCTGTCCGGCCACCGAGGCCCGAAGGGCCGAGGGCCGAGGGCCGAGGCCCTGTCTGGCCGACCGCCGGCCCGGCTCCCGGGCCACGAGGCCCGAAGGGCCGAGGCCGCGCCCGAGGCTCAAGTTTGATGGGCAGCCCGGCCCAGACTCGTTGCTGGATCTGGCTCAGATCTGGCGCTGCGAACTTCGACAACTTTTGATCAGGTCCCGCATTGCATTTGATCAGGTCCTGCATTGACATGATCAATTCAACTTGAAAGGAGGCTGTGGGCACTGGGAAGGCAGGAGCCATGGTGACCCAGAAGGTATTGCCAAGAAAGAGGGGCTCTGATCAGATGGGCATTGCTGGATTTTTGACCGTAAAGAAACCTGCTTCCGATACTGCCACTGCAGCAAATGTGAATGCAGGCTCTTCAGGACGTGCAACCCAGCTTGCAGGAGGTAATCGCCAAGTAGCAGCAGGTCAACGTGCGGCAACAGCTTCTCCAGCAGTCAATGCAGCTCCTGCAGCTCAATCAGCAGCAGATCAGAAGGCCCCGCAGCCTTCCAAGCCGCGCATTGTCAGGAAGTTCAAGGAGCGGTGGGCGCACGAGTGCAAGTGCCCTGGGTTGTTTTTCAATGATGGCAAGATGTTCTGCCAGATCTGCATTGACAACAAGAAGACCAATGCCTTCACAGTAGGTGCTAAGAAGATTGAGAAGAAGGCAGTTGCGAAGCACGTCGCTTCAGCGTCCCATGTTGCTGCTGTGCTGCTGGCAAAAGGGATCGGCGTCGATGCTGGTGCCATGGCAAAGGCCAGTGATAAAGCTCTGAAGGAGAAGCAACAGCAGATCCGGGGTATGTTCAAGAATGCCTACTACATGGCAAAGAAGAACATAGCAGCCACGAAGTACGAGAGCTTCATCAAGAATCTGGAGGAGCAGGTAAAGATCTCAAATCTGGGACGATAATGATCAGTGCATCCAACAGAGTTTCAATGCTTTGCAGGTACTTCTGCTTGTGGGTATCTGTGCTCGAGTGCAGCCAATTCGAGCACGTTACTGCAGCTTAGATTGTGCCATTGTCTTCTGAATCGTTGCTTGGCTCTTTTTGTCAGGCCATCACTTTTTTTCCTTACATCCATGTTTGTTCACAGGATGTGCAGATGATCACTGCCAGTTACCGCAACCGGGACGCTTGTCATGAATTTCAGGCAAAGATGTCAGAGTCTTTGTTTGAGAAGTTGAAGAAGGACCTCAACGCGAGTCCTGTCTTCAGCGTCATGATTGACGAGACCACTGATATTGCAGTGAACGAGCACATGATCGTCTATGCTCTGTACCTCAAGAACAACGAGCTTCAAGTGGACTTCATCTCGCTGCTTCAGGTACAATGTAACAACCATTCCCAGTGTGTTCAGCGCAAGTTGTCTGCTTTGTGGCGTAGCTCTTAAACAGTATCTGCTGCAAACACTTGATTTGCTCGGTGATTGACCACAGGCTTCACTAAGGCTGATCTCACACCTGCTTTCTTCTGTGGGTTTCAGGTAACCGATACCACGGCTGCAGGCTTGACCGGCGCCCTTGAGGGGCTTCTCAAGCTTCTGGGAGTCGACCTCGCCAAGCTCGTTGGCTTCGGCTCTGATGGTGCTTCCGTCATGACCGGTAGGTGGATGTTAGACGAAAACATCTGGGGTGGTTCAATCCTGTGGATCTGAGCACTTTTGAGGGTCTATGATATAGGGAGTGAAAGCGAGCCAGTTTGCCGCACTCGTCTTGCAATGTTGCAACAACTCGAAGTCCTTGCAAAAGCAGGCTCTAAGAATGCTTGCAGCAGATCTAATTGTTTCTGTAGGTTGTCATGTAAGTTGTCGGTCAATGCCATTTGCTTTTGGCCATCAGATCTGGACTGAGATGGTATGTCGACGCTCATCAGAATTCTCATATAATTTGCAGGGAGGGTCAATGGTGTGGCAGCGATGCTCACTCGGAAGCTGAACGGCCACCTACTTTCAACCCACTGCGTTGCACACCGGGCTGCCCTCGCCTCGGCAGGTGCTGCCACAGCCACCCCCTACAGCAAAGCTGTGGATGACGTCGTCACCAAGCTGGCCACGCGCTACTCCAAGTCAGCCAAGGCTAGTTCCCAGCTGCGGAAGGTCCAAGAAGAAGCGGGGTCAAAGCTTCTTCGTGTCCAGCGCATCCACAAAGTGCGCTGGCTTTCTCGTCACCAGTCGCTTGAACGGGTCCTTAAGGTCTGGCCCGAAGTGCTGCTGGACATCGAGCAGCATGTCCCTGCAGCTGTTAGGGGTATCGCGGCTGCAGCTGCTGCCGCGGCACTCGCCGATCCTGTAACTCCAGCTGACGCTGCTGACGACGCACGCCTTGATCTTCAGCTTCGTGACTTCAAGTTCGTCTTCAGTCTGCATTTCCTCGCGGACGCGCTCGGAGAGTTGGCCAAGTTAAGCAAGCAGTTTCAGGCTGATAAGCTGAACCTGCCAGCTGTCGATGCGTACGTGGAGCGGACGATCAAGTCGTTCACGGAAGCGTTTATCGACCGGGACTTGGAAAGGTCAGCCTGGGAGCATGGGCCGCCTGGGGGGGTGTTGCGGGGTTTTCTGGAGGCGGTGCACGAGCCGGCGACGGTTGGGGAGCCGGTGCTGTTTGAGGGTCGGGAGCTTCTCAACGTGGACCTGCAAGGCAGTTTTGACTACATGGAAGAGTACGCTCGTGCTGTAGGTGAGTTGGATCACGTGATCAAGCATCCAGGCAGATTCCTTGCTCTATGACATGTGCACTTTGTAGGCGTGCTTGACTGGTTGTGAGTGACCGTGGTACCAGTCTTTGACAAACAGACTAATCTATTGAATCAGTTTTCAGATTGGAATCACTTTCATTTGTCCCATCACCAAGGCTCGTTTGCACTTGGTGATTCTTGGCTCCTCTTCGCTTTGCAGTGAAGGAGTTGCGAGACCGCTTCCCAGCCCGGGAGTTGTTCAACGCATTCCACATCTTCAGCCCGGCTGCCTTTCCGGATCCTAAAGCGGAGGACGAGCTTCGCGACTTCGCTCAGAAGTTTGGGGTTACAGAGTTGAATAAGCTTCTAGAGCATTTTGGCGAGCAGAAGGTAGGCAGGGATGACGTAATCTTCCCACCGCTTGTAGATTCGGATGAGGCCCGTACAGAGTGGAAGGAGCTGAAGCATGTGCTTCTAACTCTCAAGGGAAGGGAGCCCACTCCGCCGATGGCGGGGGTGCTGAAGATCTTGTCCACCGAGGAGCCATATAAGGACTCCTATCCTAACCTATTATTGTTATTACAGATTGCAATAGTTCAGCCCTTGAACACAGCAGCGTGTGAGCGAGGATTTTCGTGTCAGAATGATATCAAAACAAGAAATAGGAGTAGGCCACGATAGGTTCACTAGATGTGCTTATGCGTATAAGGCTGTATGGCCCTAGTCCATCAAGTATGGTATACAAGGATTCAATCAGGCGGTGGAAGAAAGGGGTTAAAACAAATAGGAGGCCTTTATTTAAAGCGAGTACAGTCGTGATAGAAGAAAGCGATGCCGAGGAATCAGACCATGAAATCGAAGATCAATTTTGACAAGCTAAGAAGCTGGCTAAACAATCATTTTTAGCATGACTTCCATCCGCGTCAATATATTGCATGCAACATTCAATTGACAAATGATGGAAGTGTGCCATAGGAATACTAATTTAGGCACTGGGCTTGCCAATGAATTGCACGTGGCGGTGCGTACTACGGGCCAAACGGATTCGTCCCATCTATTCATGGGTCATGGGCACATCCGACATGGGCGTGACCTAAAAAGAAGAACTGAACGTCGGCTTGCCGGATCATTCAGTTCATAAGCGCGGCACACCTCTTCGAAATTCGAATGCCTCGTAACTTGTATAAGCAGCTTGCGCCTTCGAATTTCGCGCCTATGAGTACCATGCAGAATAGTCCGGGCCGGCTCAGCTCAGTCACACTGGCGCGGCCGCCAACGTCGGATCACCGTGCAACCTGGCAGTGCAGTGCGCGGTCCGGTCA